ATATATATATATATATGTAGTCTTTATGCCTAAAACAGTGATTGACATGTCGTAGCTACTCTGTGAAAACTTGCTAAATGGAAGAGTGAAACTAAAGCAGCAAAAGGGGAAAAAGTAGGAAAATAGGCAGAGAACAAGGAAGAAGAGAAACCAGCAATAGAGTGAACTGCTGAGTGAATTCTTATAATGCACCAGAGGAGATCCATTTTCAAATTACAGGAAATTGAGCCAAGGACCTGGTCAGTATTACCCCTTAAGGAGAAAAAATTGACAGGGGCATGTTAACTCTAATTTAAATAGGTTACATACTGAAAACCACCAGGAGGATGTTTTTGTAATGTCAGCCAAGAACTCTTGCCTAAATAAATGAGTTTTTTCCTTGTAAGATTAAATCAGGTAAGAGTTCAAAAGACATGTATTATCCAGCCCAGCTGGAAGTTAGCAATCAGGGAGAGTAGAAAATGTGTACTAGCAGAAATCTTACTCTAGGTATTTTTTTTCTTTTTTTTTTGAGACAGAGTCTCACTATGTCACCCTTGGTAGAGTACTGTGCTGTCACAGCTCACAGCAACCTCAAACTCTTGGGCTCAAGTGATTCTCTTGCCTCAGCCTCCCAAGTAGCTGGGACGACAGGCACCCATCACAACACTTGGCTATTTTTAGAGATGCGGTCCTGCTCTAGCTCAGGCTGGTCTCAAACCTGTAAACTCAGGCAATCCCCCTGTCTCGGCTTCCCAGAGTGCTTGGATTGTGGTGTGAACCACTGTGCCCAGCCCACTCTGGATATTTTTGTGTTTGATGAGTCCTATAGTTAGATAACTTGCTAACCAGGCTGGGTAAAGAAGTTCACTTTAACCAAAGACCCAGGGGATGACAACAGCTGCACAGCTACTACCATTTAAATGCACAGATACAGAAATTCTGCATGTTTGTTTGGAAGAAAGAATGACAGCTTAGGACACTCTGTGCTCTAATTTGAGCAGAAGTAGTAAGGCATTTTACTAACCTCAAGCAAAGCACTTGGCCTTTTGTCCTTCACTCAACACAGGAAAGAAAAAGTGGTTCAAAAAGAAAACCTCAGTGAAAAAGTAAGATTCCCTGAGAACCTGAGCCAAATTCTCTTGAGCAAATGGCTCACAAATCAGACCAGCTGGCACAAATGTCCACTCAGCTGACACGAAACCCAAGCCACACAGAGGCTGCAGGTGGCTTGGCCACACAGGCTCTGCTCATGAAGTGCCACGTGCCCTGGGGCTCCCGAATACTTACATTTCTCCTCTTCTCCATGTTTGTTTCTTCAGCTGCTTTCTGGTACCTTTGGAGAAGGGGAGACAAAGAAAATGTCCTCAAATTAAACTTACTTTTTTCACTCTTTCAATCATTAAGAAACTCATCTCTGCACACATATTTCTTCCAGCAGTGATCTTTGATCAACTCTATCAGAAGCAGCAGAGAATCACAGCAACCCTCACTACCTGTGGCTGCATCTGCTCTGATAAAACAGCAAGATCCAAGCAGATGAGATCGAATGCTGGGAAGTGATTGGCTAGAGCGGAAGGTCTGGGTTTTAAGTCCCAGTTTTGTCACTTTATTAACTGTTTTCACTGGCAACTCATTTAATCTATATAAGCCTCAGTTTCCTTACCTAGAAAACGGCTTTACAGTCTATTTTCAGTGTTTGCTGAGAAGACTAAATGAGATCAAATGTATAAAAATGCTTTGGAGTTAGTCAAATACATACAGCAATGCATAATTCTATGATGCACATTTCCCTGCCCATATTAACGCCTCTGAAGTCTTTTTTTTTTTTTTTTGAGACAGAGTCACTGTCACCCCCAGTAGTGATATGGTGTCATAGCTCACAGCAACCTCAAACTCTTGGGCTTAAGCGATTCTCTTGCCTCAGTCTCCCAAGTAGCTGGGACTATAGGCGCTTACCACAATGACCAGCTATTTTTAGAGATGGGGGGTTTCACTCTAACTCAGGCTGGTCTTGAACTTGTGAGCTCAGGCAATCCACCTGCCTCAGCCTCCCAGAGTGCTGGGATTACAGGTGTGAGCCACTGAGCCCAGCCTTGCCTCTGAAATCTTACAATTGTTGTCAGCCAAATGGTCAAAAGGTAGTTGCACTGCCTGGACAGTGTGAATTTAGTCTAAATTATTGATATCAGTAAATAACTAACTTTAGCTCAGTTGCGTGTATTTTTTTTTTTTTTTTTTACAGTTTTTGGCTGGGGTCAGGTTTGAACCCACCACCTCCAGTATATGGGGCCGGTGCCCTACTCACTTTGCCACAGGCACTGCCCTTTTTTTTTTTTTTGGACACAAAGAGTTTCACTTTGTTGCCCTGGGTACAGTGCCATGGCATCATAGCTCATAACAACTTCAAACTCTTGGGCTCAAGCAATCTTCTTGCCTCAGCCTCTGGAGTAGCTGGGACTACAAGTGATTTTTCTATATTTAGTAGAGACAGGGTCTCACTCTTGCTCAGGCTGTTCTTGAACTCCTGAGATCAAACAAACCACCCATCTTGGCCTCCCAGAGTACTAGGATTACAGGTATGTGCCACTGTACCTGGCCTTTTTTTTTTTTTTTGAGACCTAGTTAGGTGATTTTTATATTTTTATCAGAGATAGGAGGGTGTCTCACTCATGCTCAGGCTGGTCTCAAAATCCTGAGCTCAGGTGATCCACCTGACTTGGCCTCCCAGAGTGCTAGGATCAGAGGCGTGAGCCACCATGCCCAGCCCTATATACATTTTTAAAATAAAAGATATTATGCCTTTTTTTTTTTTGAGACAGAGTCTCACTTTGTCACCTTTAGTAGAGTACTGTGGTGTCATAGCTCACAAGTAACCTTTAACTCCTAGGTTCAAGCGATCCTCTTGCCTCAGCCTCCCAAGTAGCTAGAACTACAGGTGCCAGCCACAATGCCTGGCTAGTGTTTTTCTTTTTTTTCTATTTTTAGTAGAGATGAGGTCTCACTCTTGCTCAGGCTGCTCTTGAACTCCTGAGCTCAAGCAATCCACCTGCCTCGGCCTCCCAGAGTGCTAGGATTACAGGGGTGAACCACTGTACCCAGCAAAAATGGGATGATATCATACATACTATTCAGTACCTCCCATTCTTCATTTCAGAGGGAAATTCAAAGCAGCTGATGTTTTCATTCAAGAAATATTACTGGGGCGGTACCTGTGCCTCAAAAGGGTAGGGCACCAGTCCCATATACCGGAGGTAGCGGGTTCAAACCCAGCCTGGGTCCTGCCAAACAACAATGACAGCTACAGCCAAAAAATGGCCAGGCGTTGTGGCAGGTGCCTGTAGTCCCAGCTACTTGGGAGGCTGAGGCAAGAGAATAGCTTGAGCCCAGGAGTTGGAGGTTGTTGTGAGCTATGATGCCATGGCACTCTACCCAGGGTGACAGCTGGAGACTCTGTCTCAAAAAAAAAACCCCCAAAACAAAAATGAAATAAATAAAATAAATAAATGACTAAAAACATTAAAGACCAAGTTTTATATAAGAAAGTTTGT